AGCAATGACAGTGATAAAGGGGGAGCAGACAAGTCTTTGAGACTTGGTTAGCCATTCTCAGGGTACTCACTGTGGAGATGAGTAATTCTACATGGGTCTTGAGAACATCCCTCTCTTTAAAATAAGGATGTGTTGAAGACTCACTGACCTGAATCCTAAATAAAGCCTTCTGGAGAACAGTGACTGGAAGACAAGTGAAGTTCTACTCTCTTCTGTCATTTAGTCAAGTGTTTATTGAGTTGCTGCTTTGTGTAGATACCACTAAGCTATATAATTACTTGTGCATGATATACTCAACAAATTAGTGTATAAATGAGTAAAATGACGTCACCTTTGCACTTATTTACTGAGCGCTTACTCTATACTAGACATAAAATATTCTAAGTGCTAAGAATATAATTGTGAGCAATACAGAAATCATCTCTGCTGCTTTGCAGCATATAAGTGAGAGAGACATTGCAACAAAAATATATTAATATACAGTTACAAATTGGGTTTGTGAAGAAAACTAACAACTGCTGTGATACACTGTAGGAGTGGGATCAGTTTAAATTGTGTGTTTTTGTGGGGACTTTCAGTTTAAGAACTGAATGATGTGTAGGAATTAGCCAGGTCAGAATTGGAGCATTGCAAGTGGGGAAGACAAAATCATGAAGTTTCTCAGTTTGGGAGTGGGAGAGCTGGAAGTGGGTTGGCATCTTTGGGGATCTGAAATAAGGCCAGTGTGACTGGAATGTAGAGAGGGAGGAGTAGAGTTGCACAAAATGAAGTGGAATAGTTGACAGGGCTTCCAGAAGATAACTGTAATACAGGTTCCAAACCTTTCAAGTTTCATTACTCTTAATTTAGGGAATAAAATAGAAATTGATTTGTGGCTTGGAAAAAGTGAAAAGATATTGGTGAATTAGGAATAATTGGTTAATCTATACTCCATGGAAGTTGGTGTTATATTGTGAAAAGAATGTGGGCCTTGGAATCAGAACTAAGTTCATTCCATCTTTGCTCTTTTAATGATGTGTGACCTTGGATAAGTTACTAAGCCTCTCTGAGCTTCTGTTCTTTCATTTGGAGATAATAGTGCCCCTTTATTGTTAAAATGAAACTAAATATGTAAAATACTTAGAGGCCTAGCTCATACTAAGTGGTCAGTAAACTACATGGTGCTGTTACTCTTACTACTATTTCTCTTCTTCCTTCTCAAGGCAGATAGACAACTGCCAGATTGTTCATAAAAATATTAGCTAGGTGAACATGATGAACATAACGAAAGCATGCACAAACTGACATGCCTGTAGTGACTTTAGACTATGAGTAGTCCTCAGTGAAATGGTGGGAGTGTTTCAGTCTGTCCCATGATTGTTGAAAAAGCAGATTTTTTTTTCATTGCAGACATCAGTTGAACTGTATGTACTTTGGGAAATCTTTGCATTTCAAATAAGTATTGTAAAGCTAAATTCACTATGAAAAGCCATAGTATTGTAAAACACACTATAGGTTTTTCAGAGAGAATCATGCAACTGTAATAAAATAGACTCCCTGAAAATGCTCACGTGCCATGTTAAAGACATAGGGTTTTCTTATTTCACATGCAATTCTCTAGTTACATTTCGCACAAGTAAGATAAACCATTTGGGATAAACTGTCATGTAATATGGAAATACAGTAAGACTCTGACATAATAAAAAATTGGTTTCCAAAAACTTTAGTCAGATTAATGGAGAATAATGAAATAACTCCTGGCTAGCCAGTTAGGAGTTCCTAGGGTGTGGAAACCAATTACCAATTGTCTTCAGGTTATTCATGATATTGGAGGATATATTTGAATGCTAATAACATGTCAAAGAATTTTGATAATGACAGTGAAGTTTTTTTTGGAAAGAGAAAATTGTTTGGGAAAACATTTTGGCCTTTGATTTAGACATTTGTAGGAAAATGCAATATGCAGTGGCTAAATTAATTTGACTATGATCCTTAAGAAGATATGTTTTACTTTGTGAACGCTGTATATACACATATAGGAAACTAAAGCAAAAGTTTTATGAAACAATATGTATTCCAACATTTTCTGTTATATTTTATTTCAATTTCTGGAAAATGCTATAGTTTACTAATTTTATAACATAGTGGTTTACAATTTGCACTTTGAAAAACATTGTGCTAAATGACTGTATTAAGTGATGCTTCAGAAAGGAATGCCAGGTTACTCTAGAACCATAGATCAGCACTATTTCACTATTAGAATATCCCATACCACTAGTAATAGATGACTAGTAGGTGCCAGTCTCAGTTGGCTGCCTGGGATGGTCTTTAAAAAAGGATTCATATATATATAATGTGTGTGTGTGTGTGTTGTATGTATTCACGCACATATTTACTTGCTTACGCACAGGACGAATACGTAAGAAATTAATGATAACATGGACTGCCCAAAGGAAAGAGATCTAGGTATCTGGGCAAGAGTGATAAGGCACTTTAAGTACAGTATACCCTTTTATTTTTCATTCTTGTTAAATTTGAATCGTGTGAACATATTTATTCTAAACATTAATAAATTCTGCTTCTACATTATTAGAGAAAACAGCAGGGTGACTAGTATAGATCAGAGTTTTACAGTAAAGATTACTGTGTAGGCTGGGCACAATGGCTCACATCTGTAATCCCACCACTTTGGGAGGCTGAGGCGAGTGGATCACTTGAAGTCAGGAGTTCAAGACCACCCTGGCCAACATGAAACTCTGTCTCTACTAAAAATACAAAAATTAGCTGGATGTGGTGGTGAGTACTGTAATCTCAGCTACTCAGGAGTCTGAGACAGGAGAATCACTTGAACCCGGGAGGTGGAGGTTGCAGTGAGCCTAGATCATGCCACTTGCACTCCAGCCTGGACTCCCCACACCTATGCTGGACTCTGCTAATCTACACAGTAATCAGTCTCAGATTAAAAAAGATTACTGTGTAGATTAGCGGACTCCAGCATAGGAGTGGGGAGTTACCCTGAGTGCTATTTACTGCCCCGATCTAGACCAGCTATATTGACAGTACTATGCAATGATGTTTAGGTGACTCATTAAACAGGGTTACTTTGTGTTTTGTGCTCTGCTTATTTATCATAGTGGGGGGATATACTATATTCTAGAAAGCTTTTTTCCAATAGAATATGGTTAATTTTAATGTTCCTGTGCTTTTCATTTTTAATTTCTAAATTTGTTATTTAGAAGTAATTTCAAACTTACAGAAAAGTTGTATGAATAAGTTCAAGTAGTACCTGTTTCCATATTCACCTTTTGTCAACATTTTACCCCATTTGTCTTCTCATTTGATCTACCTACCTGATTTTTTTCCCCCTGATCCGTTTGAGAGAAATTTATAAATACTATGCCCCTTTCTTTCTAACTACTAAAGAGTATATTTTCTAAAATTAGGGATAGTCTCTTACTTAACTACAGTACAAATATCAGCTTCAATACATTTAATATTCATACCATATTTTATCTACTCTACTGCTAACTTTCCTCCTTTGTCAGTTCACCCAGGAATATGCTTTATAGCATTTTTTCCTGCTTTCTGGCACAGGATTTGGACTAGCGTTAGGTATTGTGTTTAGAAAGTTGTCATCTCTTTAGTTTTTTTTTTTTTTTTTTTTGAGACAGTCTCTCTCTTGTCACCCAGGCTGGAGTTAAATGGCACATTGTCGACTCTCTGCAACCTCTGGCTCCTGGGTTCAAGCAATTCTGTCTCAGCCTCCTGAATAGCTGGGAATACAGGTGTGCACCACCATGCCCGGTTAATTTTTGTAGTTTTAGTAGATACGGGGTTTCACCATGTTGTCCAGGCCTGTCTCCAACTCCTGACCTCAGGTGATCTGCCCACCTTGGCCTCCCAAAGTGCTGAGATTACAGGTGTGACCCAACCTCTTTAGCTTATTTAGCTTTAGCTTCTTTTGATTGGCAACATTTCCACATCCTTTATTTCTTTTTTACAATTCTGGCATTTTAAAAAAATATACCTTTTTAAAAATAGGATGTTGATTATTTTGATGTTTTATGATTAAATTCAAATTATGCATTCTCAGGATATTATATAGCTGATGTGTCTTTCTCAGGATATAAAATCTGGAGATACACAATGTCCGTCTAACATTGGTGATGTTAGAGAGTACTTGGTAAAGGAGTTGCCTAGTTTCTACTGTATAGTATTTCCCCCTTGCAACTAAAAAATAATCCATAGAAAGACGTGTTAAAACCATGCAAATATACTAATTTATAAAAATTTTCCCCTAGATTTAGCATTCATGATTGTTCTTGCCTGATACAGTCTTTACTGTGTTGGTTGCAAAATGCTGATTTTTCTGTTGCTAGCACTAACCTCTACATTTACCAGTCAACACTCAGTGTTCTGTTCTAAGCAATAACCCTCATTTCTCCTCCTCTTGTTTTTTTTTTTAATATAAACTCAAATTACCCCTTCTCATGGTTTATAATTAATTACTGTATAAAGTAGAGGATTTGATTATGGGCTGTGTCAATGATGACATCAGGAGGTCAGTGATCACCTTGAATTGTGTGCAATCTTCTGTGTTCTGGCATCTTTCTAGGGAGAGTGTTCCTAACTTTCATCAGAATCTTGAAAGGGTTCGGGACCCAAAAGTGGAAAACATGTTGAAGGGTTACACTTTAAGCTATCTGTAGTAGTTATAATACATTTTAATAAATTTGTATGCCTGTTCCCCTCCTTTTTACCGAGTGATAAGTAACTGAAATGTTAGAACCATATTGTATGTTGTCTGTAGTAGACTGCATTTTTGTATTCTATTTTTAAAACACAACTTATAATAGTACTATATTTTGGTTCCTTTAAATTTTTTCCTAGAACATATAATAAATGTTTAGATCTTCATTGCCACTGTAGTAACAGTTTATGGTGTATAGACCAGTCTTGTGAAGCAATGAATTACCTTGATTTAATTTGAAATTTTAAAACCAATGTTTTTTACACTATAGTTTTATTAGCTCTCTGGGAGTGAGCTACATGATGTTGTGCACTGAAAATTACCCAAATGTTCTCGCCTTCTCTTTCCTGGATGAGCTTCAGAAGGAGTTCATTACTACTTATAACATGATGAAGACAAATACTGCTGTCAGACCATACTGTTTCATTGAATTTGGTAAGGGCCTGATTTTTTTTCCTTTTTGTTCTCTCTCCATCCAATCATAGGCAATTTTAAATCTAATATTGGGTGGAGAGGGGACTTCTGCTATCTTGCTTTTGATAGAATAATTTGGTAAATGATCTATAAATTATGGTAACTTTTTACTTAGATGTTTATTAGAAAAAAATTGTGTTTGAGCTATGAAGGGGATTGTGAGTATTGGTCCAAAGAATTAATGCCAGAGGATAACTTCTCAATGAGAAATTCATAAGCCAGAGATTCAGACTTTCGTGTTTATGTAATCTTTTATAGTCTGCTTCATATAGAACAGGGGATGGCAAACATTTGCTGGAAAGGACCGGATAGTACATATTTTAGGCTTTAAGGACCATATAGTCGCTGTCATGACAATTCATCCCTGCCATTGTAGCTCGAAAGCAGCCATAGGCAGTACATAAATGAATGCAGTTATATTATAATAAAACTTTACAGAATAGTCAGCAGGCTAGATTTGGCCTGTGGGCAGTTGTTTGCTCAACTTCTAATGTAGAAGGAAAAAAAAAAACCATGTTGTAAATAGTAAAAATAAAATTTCACTTGGAAAATACTTAGGAAATGTTATATTACTTTCATTCAATTTATTTTTTAAACCATTCTAATGGTGTAAGCAATAAAAAGATTTATAAAAATGCAACATCTAGTGTGTGTTCTTATGAAATTGCAGCTGATAAATCTGACAGATTTAATATTTCATGTGATAGGAATCTCTATAAAAAGATTTGGCACAGGGTGTGGTGGCTCATGCCTGTTATCCCAGCACTTTGGGAGACTGAGGCAGTAGGATCACTTGAGACCAGGAGTTCAAGAACACCCTGGACAACATAGAGAGACCCTGTCTATACAAAAATAAATAAATAAATAAATAAAAGCTGGGCATGTTGGCTCACACCTGTAGCCCTAGCTACTTGGGAGTCTGAGGCAGGAGGGTCATTTGAGCACAGGAGTTCAAGATTACAGTGAGCTGTGATTGTAACATCACACCCTGGTGACAGAGCAAGACCCTGTCTCAAAAAAAATAATGAGACTGGTTTAAAGCTAAAGCTGTTTGTTTTTATAATTCCTTGAAGTGGATGTAATACACTTAGGTAGGGTTAAATTCTCAGTTTATTTTCAGTTACTGATTTCTAGAGTGTAAAACTGATGACTCCACGATATATTAATCATTAAACACAAGTTTGGAATATTTTATGACAAGTTGAACAATTTTTAATAATAAACTATAATATTTATTATCCATAAACATCATGTTCTGAAATGATTAATTGACAAGTAACTGCAAGGAAATTTATTTTTTTATTTTATCTAGATAACTTCATTCAGAGGACCAAGCAGCGATATAATAATCCCAGGTCTCTTTCAACAAAGATAAATCTTTCTGATATGCAGATGGAAATCAAGCTGAGGCCCCCTTATCAAATTTCCATGTACGAACTGGGGTCAGCCAATGGAGTCACATCAGCATTTTCTGTTGACTGTAAAGGTGCTGGTAAGATTTCTTCTGGTGAGTTCTGGATCTCGGTTATTTTTTTAAATATCATTGGGAAGAACTGAGAAACTCTCCAAAATGAATTACTTGATTCTAATATTTTAAATCAAGTACTTGAGAGAATATAGAAGTTCAAAGCAATCCTTTCTGTCCATGGTTTATAAAGTAAGCTACCAGATACGTGATTAATCAGGAATACTTTCAAACAGCAACCTCAGAAGATCTCTTCGCTAGAAAAACATTTTTTTAATTTCAAAATTTTTTAAAAATTAATTTTCATGGGTACATAGTATGTAATATATAGGGTATGTGAGATATTTTGATATAGGCATGCAGTGCATAACAATCATTAGAGTAAATGGGGTATTCATCACCTCAAGTATTATTTCTTTGTATTATAAACATGTCAATTGTACTCTTATTTTAAAATCTACAATAAATTGTTGTTGACTGTAGTTACCCTATTGTGCTTTGAAGTACTAAATCTTATTCATTCTAGCTAACCATTATTTTGTTCCCATTAGCCAACCCTCTTTCTCCCACTCCCACTCCCCTTCCCATCCTCCAGTAACCAACATTCTACTCTCTATCTCCATGAGTTCAGTTGTTTTAAATTTTAGCTCCCACAAATGAGAATGTGTAAAATTTTCCTTTCTGTGCCTAGCTTATTTCACTTAATAAAATGTCCTCCAGTTCCATCCATGCTGTTGCAAGTGACAGGATCTCATTCTTTTTTTATGGTTGAATAATACTCTATTGTGTAGGTGTACCACATTTTGTTTATTCATTTGTCTGATGATGGGCACTTAGGTTGCTTCTGAGCCTTACCTGTTGTTAATAGTGCTGCAGTAAACATGAGAATGCAGATATCTCTTTGATACGCTGATTTCATTTCTTTTGGATATATACCTAGCAGTGGGATTGCTGGATTATATGATAGTTCTTTTGTGTGTGTGTGTGTGTGTGTGTGTGAGTGTGAGACAGAGTTTGACTCTGTTGCCCAGGCTGGAGTGCAATGGCATGATCTCAGCTCACTGCAACCTCTGCATCCCTGGTTCAAGCAATTCTCCTGCTTCAGCCTCCCAAGTAGCTGGGACTACAGCCGCATGTTACCATGCCCGCCTAATTTTTTGTATTTTTAAATGAGACAGGGTTTCACTGTGTTAGCCAGGATGGTCTGATCTCCTGACCTCGTGATCTGCCCTCCTCAGCCTCCCAAAGTGCTGGGATTACAGGTGTGAGCCACTGTGCCCAGCCTCTTCTTAGTTTTTGAGGAACCTCAAAACTACTACTGTTTTCTGCAGTGGTTGTACTAATTTACATCCCCACGAACAGTTTCCTTTTCTCCACAACCTCACCAGCATTCATTATTGCCTGTTTTTTGGATAAAATCCATTTTAACTGGGGTGAGATGATGCCTTGTTGTAGTTTTCATTTGCATTTCTCTGATGACCAGTGATGTTGAGCTGTTTGTATGTATTCATATACCTGTTTACCATTTGTATGTCTCTTTTGAAAAATGTGTGTTCAGATCTTTTGCCCATTTTTTAGTTGACTTAATAGATTTTTTTTCATATACAGTTGTTTGAGCTCCTTATATATTCTGATTATTAATCCCTTGTCAGATGGGATATAGGGATTCACATCCCTTGTCAGTTTGTGAGTATTTTCTGTCATTCTGTGGGTTGTCTCTTCACTTTGTTTCCTTTGCTATGCAGAAGGTTTTTAACTCAATATAATGCAAATTTTCCACTTTTGCCTTGGTTATCTGTGCTTGTGAGGTATTTACTCAAGAAATCTTTGCCCAGATCAGTGCCCTGGAGAGTTTCCCCAATGTTTTCTTTTAGTAGCTTCATAGTTTGAGGTCTTAGATTTAAGTCTAATTCATTTTGATTTGATCTTTGTATATGGCTAGGAAAACATTTAAGGATTTTTTGTAAATATTTTTCTAGAAATGAAAAATAGGTTCTTTGTGCTGCATGTTTATAGGCATGTAAAGTGCTTTGCATTATGTTAAAATGGCTACATTCAAGGCCAGGGTTCTTGACTGTCACAGAAGATATAAAGACTTGAGTGCTCAAATTTCCCATCCCAAAGAAGGAATATGATCTTCAACAATTGTGAAAGGATATAAACTTTTGCTTAAAATGAACACCTCATTATCAGACTATTTGCTTAAAAAATTATTCCAACCTAAGGCTTTAGGAAAAAAAAAATCTTCCTTATATAATTGAGCTAAAGTCAGCTTCCCTATGTCTACCAATTTGTTCTGTGATCTCTTTCTCCCACCCTTCAGCAGAACCAGAATAAGTTAAGTCACCAACTATGTGTGCTTTCCTTCCTCTTAGCCTAGTTTACTTCATATAAATATCTCCAGTTCACTAATGAGAACACATGGACTCAGGGAGGGGAACATCACATCAGGGCTTGTTGTGGGGTTGGGGGCTGGGGAGGGATAACATTAGGAGAAATACCTGATGTAGATGACAGTTTGATGGGTGCAGCAAACCACCATGGCAAGTGTATACCTGTGTAACAAACTTACATGTTCTGCACATGTATCTCAGAACTTAAGGTGTATGTGTATATATATATTTTATATATGTATAATATATATTTTATATAGTTTATATTTTTATATATCATATTTCATATAATATATAATATATATTTTATATAAAACATACTTTATATAATATATAAAATATAGAGTATGTAGATTATAAATATATATAAAATATAGATTATATATTTTATATAATATAAATTTATATATTCATATATGTCTCCACATAGGGGAAATTCTGGAATAAAGTAAAATTACTAAAATGAAAAATTCATAGAAGGGCTTAATAGATTTGAACTGGCAGAAAGAGCTAGCAATTTGAAGATAGATTGATACAGATTATTTAATCAAAAAAACAAAAAAAATGAAGAAAAACAGAATCTTAGAAAAATAGAGGGCATGCCAACATATGTGTGACAGGATACTGAAGAAGAAGGGAGAGAAAAAGGAGCAGAGAAAATATTTGAGGAAATAATGGCTGAAAAGTTACCAGATTTATGGAAGTTCCCACTAATCTGCTCTTCCAGGAAGCTCAGTGAACTCCAAATAGATTACAGAAAAGAAATCCACAAATAGCTGAATCACAGTAAAATGCTGAAAGTCAAAGACAAGGAGAAAATCTTGAAATCAGCAAGAGAAAAAGAACTTATCACTTACATGAGTTTACCTGCATAACAAAGCTGCACATCTACTCCTGAACCTAAAATAAAAGTTAAAAAAAAAAAATCACTTACAGTGAACCTCAATAAGATTAACAGCTGACTTAGCAGAAGCAATAGAGACTAGAAGGCAATAGAATAACATACACAGTGCTGTAAAAGAATAAAAACTATTAACCAATAATCTTATATCCCGCAAAATTATCTTTTTTAAAAAAGGCAAAAGAAAGACATTTACAGATAAATGAAAGATAAAATAATTTGTTGCTAGCAGACATAACTTATAGGAAATAATAAAGGAAATTATTTAGGCTGAAAACAAGTTAACCTCGAAAATAATTTGAATCTGTATGGGGAAAAAAAAAGCAAAGAACAAGGTAAAGGTAATTAAGTAATTAAAAAAGACAATTAAGGCCAGGTGTAGTACCTTATGCTTGTAATCCTAATACTTTGGGAGGCCAACCTGGGAAGATCCCATGAGCCTAGGAGTTTGAAGTTGCACTGAGCTAGGCTGTCCTCCAGCTTGGGCAATACAGCAAGACTCTGACTCTTAAGAAGACAGTAAAAATACATTAATGCATTTTTTTTCCTGCTCTCTAGGCTTAACTGATTTAAAAAGTGTTCATATAAAACTGCATATATAATGTCATTATGGGCCTTTAACATATAGAAATGTAATATATTTTCCTGTAACAGCAAAAAGGACATGGGTGGTAGTGAAATTGTACTGGGCTAAGGAAATTACTCCAGATGGTAATTCAAATCAGGAACAAAGGAAGTGAGCCAGAAAGATAAATATTAAGAGTTACGAACATAATTACTATCCTTTCTTCTCTTAGCATTTTTATAAGACATAAAATTATATAAAGTCATAATTTATTACAATGTATTTTGGAGTTTGTGATGTTTATTGGTATATATAATAGCAATACCACAAAAAGATAAAGGGAAAAGAGCTATATAGAGTAATGTTTCTGTGGCTCACTAGAATTTAGTATAAATCTGATGCTGTTACTTACATTTAAGATGTATATGGTAAGCTTAGAGCAACCACAAAGCAAATAACTCAAAAAGTAGTAAAAATTAAGTAAAATACTCTACTACTGAATATTCACTTAATGCAAATGAAAGAAATGAAAAAAAGTAAAGAAGGGATAGAGCCAAAAAAAGGCATGAAATGTATAAGAAAAAAGAAAAATGGCAGATGTAAATCTATATCAATATTACATGTGAATGGATTTAAAAAGTGTTAATATATTAAATAATCCAGTCAAAAGACAGCAATTGTAAGATTGGATTAAAAATAAAAAAGCAATATGCAGCTATATGCTGTCTTCAGGAGACAAACCTTAGATTCAAAGATACAAATAGATTGAAAGTCAAAGGATAAAAAAAAAAGACATGAAGAACAAAGAAGAGCTGGAGTAGCAATACTAATATCAGATGAAATGGACTTTAGACGAACATTGGTATGAGAGGTAAAGCATGACATTTTATAATGATAAAAGGGTGAATCAGTTAAGATACAGTTATAAACATATATGCATTTAACAACAGAGCCTCAAAGAACATTAAGTAAAACATGCTAGAAGTGAATAGAGAAATAGACATTTGAATAATAAAGTTGGAGACTTAAATACACAACTTTCAATAATGGAAAGAACAATTAGGTAGAAGATGAGAAAATAGAAGACTTGAACACCTGCACCACCATATGCCAGTGAGACGTAACAGACATCTATCAGAATATTCCATTTAACAACAGAATTTATAGTCTTCTCAAATTCATG